GAGGTTTATGGTTAAAATTTTTCAAGTGACAAATGATATATCTCGTACAGCCTTTTACAACTTCGGTACAATGGAATGGTTAAGTGTGAGGATCAATTTCCTATTCAATTTTGTTTTCTTGATTGCTTTGATAATATTAGTGAGTCTACCATCATCAACCATTGATCCAAGTAAATTCTCCTAAAACTATATTTGTGCTTGTGATGTTAATATTAAGTAAGATAGGTCTAAGGGAATGTGAATGGTGTTTTTACAAGCTTGGCAAGTCTAACAGCTACATATGGGTTAAACATAAATGTTTTACAGGCTTGGGTGATATGGAATATGTGTAATGTGGAGAATAAAATGATATCACTAGATAGAATTCTGGATCAGTGTTATATGCATTCCTGCAAAAAAAATATGTTAGGAAGCCTCGGTTGGTCAAAAAAACTGAAAAATTAGACCTATCGATGAGGAGTCTCTGGGTGCGGCGGCTCCACCGATTCTCCTTTATGGCTGGGGATTCTTTCCTGGCTAACATGCATATAAAGGAACGGTGAATACAATGGTAAAAGAATCGTGTAAAATAGGAAACGGAAAAGGGCTCATCGGAGAGATTTTAGGTTTTTGGCCGCGATGGCTCCGCCGAGTGCCTGTGGTTTCCAGTTCACCCGTCGTCCCTCTTACTCTGATATGGTCATATAAAGGTAGTCAGCGGTAGCTCCGGTGCAGCGGCGGACGGCAATTGGGGGTCGGCTTTCTTCTCTGGCATCTGGTTCTTCTCTTCGGTGGAGGCTGGCGGTTAGGGTTTGGGTTCCCCTGCAAAGAGGAGTTTAAATACTCCTTTCCTCTTCGATCCTTGTTGTTCGTTTACGTTGACGTGGAGTGAGGAGAGTCGTTCGATCGTTTTCTTTTTAAGCTAATGGTGTGGCCAAATCTCGTCCGTTCATCATAGTTGATCTCGTCTGCCCGATCAAGCTTAAAGGGAGAATGCATATGGGTCGTCCATGCGTGCAGGATCAATCTTGGGTCGTTGGATCGCTAGGTATGCGGATCGCTTGCATGGCCCCTCGCGTGACACCAACATCAGCGTGTTTTGTGATGCGACGCGCCCTGTTTTGTTGTGGCTGCTGACTCAACTGTCTCACGTTACAGAATTTCTTTTATTTATATTTTAACCCCCTATTTCTAATTTTTTTTCAAAAATACTCTCTGAATTCAAATTTTCACTCATTTTCTCTAAAATTATTTTTAATTTTATCCTTAATTTATTTTTTTAAAAAAATTTAATTAAATTAAAATATAGTAAATTAAATAATTCTTTTAATATAATTATTTTATAAATTAATTAATAAAAAAATTATATCGAACTGATTTTCATGCTCGAATATTACACAGATAAAGCAATTAATTTCGTCAATTTTAAAATTTTATTAAATCAGAACTAAGGGTATCATAATCTTAGGTGCACCTGCACTAGTCCTCGTGTTATTTATCCCTTCAGGTAAAATGTATATTGTAAAATATCTTACAATAATTAAAACTATTATTTCACTGCTATCTATGCTAGTTCTAAAAAGAGTAAACTAAAAACTTTATGGAAACATATTAAAAACATTTGACTCTTCTATTAGGGACCCCCTAGATTTTAGTGAAGAAATTTAATAATCTAACCACTCTTTTGGACGAAAGCGGTGGTTCAAAAAAACATAAGCTTCCCATGCAAATTTTAAAAGTTATCGGTTCACTTGGTTTAAAGGATCTACTTAGGTTATGTTAAATAAGACTTATCATATATGTTTTTCATGCATAAAATGAAGAACCTTGCTAGTTGTTATTTGAATAATATTTTATTAATGTTTGTGTATACACCGGTAAATTGAATCATTATAAATATTTTTTTTAATTTGAATTTGTCTGAGAATTCGCATACCATTCAAATATTTTATGGCCCATAATAAGGGACCACAAGGACTCTATTAGGTCAATTTTTATCGACAAATTTATTTATGTCACTATAGTGATGGTAATCTCACTTTTAATTTAATTTAAAATTATTTTATCTCATTTGAAAGTTCAAATCATAGTAAAAAGCATATTTGGACCATTCGAGTGCCCGAACATGCCAGGCAATTCATGTGGCTTCTAATATCTAAAGATGGTTGGCTAATACCGAAAGATTTGGATGTCATATTGCAAGAGATGACAAATGCAATTAATGTGACCAAACAAAAGAATACCTATTTCGTATTATTTAAGATTGTGACATATCCTGCGACGTATATAGGAAAGAATCAATTGATATTTTAAAAAATAAATAAATTTATTAAAAGAATAAGAGGATAATCATATCCGTACATGGGGCCCCTTGATCAAAGGCTGACCGTTCCCGTCAACCTTTATTTTTGGGACTTTGAAAATTCAATTTGAACTTTAAAATATATATATATATATAGTAATATAATTAAGTTCTTATTTTTTAAATTGAAAAAATACTTAATTCTTTTTTTTTTAATCTGATAATTATCACCAAAAACACATTTCTTTTATTTTAGTATGTTATTAAGTTAATTCGTTACTTTATTAATTGAAGCAATTCATTAAATTAATCTACTATATGGCAAATTCTCTTAGTTCTAATATATTTTTTATTTTATTCATGAGAAAAATATTTAATAATTACTTACTCTTAAATAATAAAAAATAAATAACAATTAAAATTAATTATTTTTCTTTTAATTACAACGATAATATACATTTATTATTCTTGCATTAGATAAGAGTAAAGAATCTAATCTTTAATTCATGAAAGTAAAAAAAAAAAAATACTTCTAATCTAAAAATCAATTATAAAATTAATAAATTTTGTCATATGGTATATTAAGTTTGATACAACATACTAATATATATATATATATATATAAAAGTGAGGAGATATAATTGAATTAAAGAGCATGACTTTTCAAGAAAATAGTGTGAAGATAAATAAGTCTTCTTCTTTGTACAAGTTGGTGGAAGAAACACGATTTTGATGTGTTTATAAGTATTTTAATTAAATTAGTTAAGGAGTAATTAAAAAGTCAATGAAATTTATATATAAGATGTGCCAAATGAAAGATATCCCTAAATTATATATATACATATTAAAATTTAAAATATTTCCAAAACAAAATAAAAAATTTATGAAAAATTTCACAAAAATTTAAAGTGAAAATAATTAATCATTTTAATTTTCAAATTAAGTTTCTTGATTTCAACGACCAAAGAACATGCTAATAAGCTATCTTACTAATAAATGATACGTAGATAAAAATATAATAAATATTTATATGTTTATAGTTTGGTGTATTTAAGAAATTAAATAATTACATGAAACTAAACTCTTATTTTAATATTTAATATTTATTTTTCAAATTATTGAAAGAACAAAAAATAATAATAATAAATACAATAATTTCAGTGAGAAGGAAAATTAATCCAAATTAATTCGGTTTGGTATGTAAATATATACACGCACACACGATACATATATAAAACATTTTTGGGCCGGTTTGTTTCAAAGATTTTCTTCTTTTTCTTTTTTTTTTTTTTACAACACTATCAAACGAAGATGTAGAATGGGCCGTGGCCCATGGCCATTCACTTTAGAGAAGTCTGCTCTCATTCTTGCATTTAAAATAGATATACATGCACATGTATATATATATATATATGTGTGTGCTCTGTTAAGGCCGCGTTTGGAATGATACTGGGGAATTCTGATTTTGCACCAAGTAAATTGCTCTGCTCCGCTCTTCATGCTCTGTCAAGTAGAAAAGTGCCTTAGAAACACCTTTCTTCTTCTCAAACCTTCAATTTCTTCTGCATTTCTCCATGCTTCTTCTGAAATGTCTCCTCCTGCTTCTTCCTCCAAAACAAGTATGTGTATATCACGAGTTGGAGTACAGCATTACGTAGACTCAGCTGCAAAGTCTGACATTGAGATTCTTGTGGCCAAAGCCCGTAATGGAAGCTCTGATGCTGAGGTTCTGCAATCTCTAGTTCATGATCAATCATGTAGTGCTATACATGTTACTCAGGATCTTGTTCATAAATTGCTCCACAGGTTGAAGGATGACTGGAAATCTGCTCTCGCTGTTTTTAGATGGGCTGAATCTCGTCCAGGCTATAAACACACATCGGAGGCATGTGATATGGTGGTGGATGTACTTGGAAAAGCCAAAAAGATGGATCAGATGAAATCAATCATGGAGGAAATGCGTCGGAGTAATCTCGTATCGCTTAACACAGTTGGTAAGGTTATGAGAAGGTTTGCTGGTGCTGGTCAATGGGAGGATGCGGTGAGAACATTTGATGAATTAGGTAATTTTGGATTGAAGAAGAACACGGAGTCCATGAATTTGTTACTCGACACTCTTTGCAAAGAGTATAGGGTTGAGCAGGCTCGTGCTGTGTTCTTGGAGCTCAAATCATACATCGCACCAGATGCTCACACTTTAACATTTTCATCCATGGCTGGTGCAAAGCCAATCGGGTTGATGAAGCACATTGGACAATTCAAGAGATGAAGGGCCATGGATGTCGTCCTTGTGTGATTAGCTACTCAACAATCATTCAGTTTTACTGCCAACAAACTGATTTCAAGCATGTCTATGAACTGTTCGATGAAATGCAAGCTCAAGGTTGTCCCCCAAATACAGTGACTTACACCACTGTAATGAGTTCATTATCCAGGTTAGAGAAATTTGAAGAAGCATTACAAGTAGCCGATAGAATGAGAGCAGCTGGATGTAAACCTGATACTCTCTTTTACAATTGCTTGATTCATACGCTAGGGCAAGCTCGTCGGCGGACAGAGGCTGTTCGAGTTTTCGAAAAGGAGATGGCAAAAAATGGTGTTTTCCCTAATGTATCTACTTATAATACCATGATTGCTATGTTTTGCCGTCACAAGTTAGAAGATAAGGCATTCAAGATTCTGGAAGAGATGGAAAAATCTAAGCATTGCAGGCCTGATGTTATGACATATTACCCATTGCTCAAGTTGTGTTTTAGAACTGGAAATTTAGATAATTGGTTGAGGAAATTACTGGATGCTATGGTCAATAAGCATCATCTCAGTCTTGATGTTTCAACCTATACACTTTTAATTCATGGCCTTTGCAGAGCAAAGCAGATCAAGTGGGCTTATCTTTTATTCCAGGAGATGATTGACAGGGATATAACACCGAGATATAAGACCTGCTGTTTGCTTTTGAATGAAATCAAAGAGAAGGATATGCATGAAGCTGCTCAGATAATTGAAGAATTCATGAAGAATTTCTGAATTTTCCACGACAATCATGTTCAGGTAGTCGATACTTTTTATGGGTCTTTCCTACCATCATAACTTAGCATTTCTTTTTGACCCATAACTATCTAGGAATTGAACTAATGCATAATATTGTCGCAGCTAAGGCTATTTTTGAAACAAATTTATGATTTCTATGGAATTTTTTGTGAATACACACTTAATTTGTGTAAATTCTCTGTACAATAACAAAAAGTTTGACTCCTAAAGAATTATTTCATATGAATTTGGAAAAATAGATTCTAATTGCACATAGAATTCCTTTAGAAAATCAATTTTAAAACAAAGTATGGATTTACAAGATTAATTTCAGAATTTGTCTGACTTGGTGAAAAACTTGAAGAAAAGAATTGGCTTCGTATTGATTTCTAATCTTCCCCTGCCTTCCTTCTTTCCTATAAGATTAGATTAGCAATGTAAAGACCGCGGCATAGTTGTTAGTAGTGATTCCATTTTGAAGCAGCAGTAAAACCGGCTGAGGTTATTATTATATATGTGTATATATATTTACTTGATTATTTATTTATATATATATACACATAATTGATAGAAGTTTGTAGGATCCAGAAGCTTTTTGTTTGATCAGAGTTTCTAATTTATTCAACACTAAGAGCATTAACAAATTAAACATTTTAAAAGAGTGTGCTTACATCGATGTTGAATTAAAATAAAGACGGACTAACTAAGCAAATGGAATACAAATCTAAGAGAAGAATTTGTAGTTTTTGGCTGAGATGATGATCGACCTTAACCCACCAATAGGTGATAAAACCATAAGCAGAACCCCTAAGACAATGCAGATCTGCAAACCAAATTTAAAGAAGGAAAAATCCATTAATTATCAAGTTAATAAAATAATTAATTTCTTGAGCGAAAATGGTTTTTTTTTAATTGCATACCCAATTTGTCCACCAAGATAAGCTGAACCTCCTTGGTTTGTATACTGCAAGCCATATGATACAAGGCAACTGCAAATAGGAAATATATTAATTCATATTAATCTTAATCTATTTCTAAATGCAAAAGATATTAATTTAGATTCCTAAATATTGTAATTAGGTGTCACACCCAAATATTTTTTCTCATATATATATATATATATATATATATATGTGTGTGTGTGTGTGTATGCCATAAAAATTTATATATTATATAGAGATGCAAGATTTTTAGTCCCAACAATCTCTCTTTAAATGCTCCTGTGCCTATAATTAAGTCAGTAATTATTATTTCAATTAATAATCTCTCGGGACTTCCAAAACACAGTGTATTATCTATCTATTCTTACGTCTTGTAGTAATTTGAAAAATAAAACTTTTATTCTAAAAAAACACACACACACATATATATATATATATATAATTTCTATAGTATTAGGAGGGCGTTAATTATAAGAGAGAGTGCTTACATAGTATGTTGTAGGTGCAAAAGCAAAGCCTCCAAAGAAACCAAGTAGACCACCAAAAAATGGGACGGATATTGCAACGATCATTGTAAATGCTGCAATCAACCAAAACCCACATCAGCCATTTATATATCCAACTCCTATATATTCACCATTTGTATTTATTTATTTATAAAAGCAAATAAGAGATGTATAATCGTCTTATAAAGGAGAAACAATGCTCTTACCAACATAAGTTGTTCGAGAAACAAATCGAAGAGAGAAAGAAGGTGTGAAATTCAATTTCTTGACGAGAACAGTTTCTATCATATCGAAAACTGGCATAGCATAAATTTGGTAACTTCCTATGACATGGATGACAACAAACATGTTTGCACTTGCGACGAGCCAAGTAGGTTTATTGAGTGTAATAAGGATGTTATCGTCCACGCTGTTTCCAAACATCCAATAGCCGAGGAAAGCAACAGGGAAGTAACAAATGGCAACAACTGCATAAGCTACAATAACTCCTCTCCACATTGGTATTTTTGATGGCTTTTCGGGAGTCGAAGGAATCGTAGCTTGAATCTCTAACACCACATTGTGACCCGCATAGGCGAAGGCTACTTCTCCTAACGCACTCAAGAAGTGAAACACAACACCCGGTGTAGTCGAAGCTTTATACGAATAATCCACGTCTGGTTGGATCCCTTTGTCAACCGCTGCTACCCATGCAATCGTCGAATAGCTACATTCATAGATTGATCCAGATCATGATCCTCGCAAATTAGACGTAACTACCACATTAATAATAACATAATGTTCTAATAAAAGAATCCCTACGTCCAAACCTTAATAAAGATGTCATTCTAAGCATTCAGTATTGATTAATAGAGGACGGTCAAATCCATATATATGTATTTGTATATATATATACCTCAAGGACATGACGGCTGCGGCAAGTGAGATGCAAGAGATGGAGTTGAAGTTGGGGAGATGAGAGAGAACAAAATGGACAGAAGCAAATATCATGATGAAAAAAGTGGTTCTAATTTCTTGACAATTAGGGCAGACGAGGTTATGAAATTTCTTCAGAGATTGTCCGCCGGTGACCATGTAAACGATATTCACGCCCACCTCCACAATCAGTTGCTGCGGAACCACAATCCATAACCCAAGCTTATCTCCAAAGGCGTATTGCCCGAGCTCATGGTACCGATCAAACCGTCTCCCGGGAACCATCTCGTGCATCTCCACCATTTGCCATAGTGTATATAGAGTTATGATCCATGACACGATCATCACTGTCACCCCAGGTCCCCTGCATGTTAAATAGAAATTCTCTTAATATATGGACACTAATCATAATATAATATAATTCTTTAAAAAAAATAGGGAAAAACTTCTTACAGATATATAAACGTATGAATCTTTGAGGTAAGTAGTGGTTGGTAATGTAACTATCAGTTTGATCCAAAATGAGAGAAAAAATCAGAAAATATGGATATGGGTTTGCAAGAAAATGAATGAATATGTACGTACATATATATATATATAAATGGTCTTTGAGTTGAAGGAGTGATTGGTAAACTAATTAGCAATTTGATCCAAAATGAAGAAATAATCAGAAAATTTGGATGTGGATTTGGAAGAAAATGAATGAATATGTACGTAGTTATATATAAACGATATTTATATATGATAATATTACCATCCGAGCGAAGACATGGCATAAGGTAGACTGAGGACACCAGCACCAACCATGGCAGTGACATTGTGAAAAGCTGAATACCACCATTTTGCATTTCTTGAAGAGGTGATGGGAAGCCAATCATCAAGATTTTTCTGCTTTGCAGCAATGTTTTCATCATCTGCCATTCTTGGAGTATTATAGCGGAATCAACCAAAATCAATTAGTGTTTTTCTGTTCAGTACGTATGTTTGTTGTGTTCTACACGTACCTATATATATATATATATATGTATATATCGATTTCTATATGTTTCTATTTATAACCGAACTTTGAATCTTCTAGTCATGCATGTATCCACTTTTAAAGGGACGAAAGAAAATGTTGGGATCAAAATCACCTACCGGATTTTCAACTGAGGTAAGTACATAATTGCCTGAATTCTTTAGCAAATTACAAAAAACATCATAACTGTATTCACAAAAAATCAGGCGATTATAATTATTTTCCTATCTTTGGAATGTGAATATAATTATTTCCCTATATATTATATATTATTTATTTTGATTTTTACAAGTTAAATCAGGCGAAGTAATAGTGGAGTGTGAAAAGTTTCTGCAGAGTTTCTTCAGTGGATGCTGGGGCTGGCCAGTTGTTGCTCATAACTGGTGGTTGTCAAAATATTGGCCAGATCTAACCAGATTTGAACAAGACTAAGTCTGGTGGACCAAATTTGGGTTGTTGGTAAATCACAGAATTGGTAAAGGGTAATTTTGATATTTTGTTCTATAATTGACAATAAGAATTTTGGTCTATAAAACTTCTTTTTATTTTCATACTTACTTTCATTCATGAATCCTCTAAAAAATATTATGAAACGTGATGATTTAGTATCGGAGACGCTATCACCGTAAAATTATTATTTACCATTAATTAAATTAAGTAATGAAGAAATAAATGTTAATGTTGCGTTAGAATCTTATAGTTTTATAATTTAATTATCATGATATCTCAAACACTTGTGTGTATTTATCGAAATTCAGTTAATGAATTTTAAAATTTGATTAGTTTATTTTTGTAATTGTCTTCTCTAAACATATATCTAATTCATTTAACCCAACACCTGTTGAAATACGCATTTATAATTTCTCTAAACTATAACCAAGTCACTTGCTACTAAAATTCGCAACCAACAAGACATAATATGTGTATTGACAGATGCTTTAATTATATTACTGACCACTAATAATTAAACATTATTTTCTATAATAAAAAAATATAACCTAAAGTGGAAAAATTCTTGAGACATTTCAGAAAACGTATTTCTAACATCTCTATTCCTTCCTCATCATTCACGTAAAAGAAAGGGAATCAATCAGGCAGTTCATGTTTTCTTCTTTTGACTTCTTTGTTTTCTTCCTGCTCTAGTTCTCTCTCATCTCAGTTCATCATCAATATATCTTCTTGGTTTTTCCCCATTCTTCTTCTTCCTTCCGAATTTCACAAAATACACATCTAATGTCCCAACATCCACAGCTGAAACAAGAAAGCAGGGGAGTTAAATGGCACCCGTTGTGTGTTCCCTACCACTCAGATTATCTGAGACTGCGAAAAGATGCAGCAGCAGCGACATGGTAGATTTATCTTTCTTCCACACAGTGGAGTTATCACTTCATCATAAAAGGAGGTAATTCCTAATATTTTAATGAAAAAACAGCGGATATTTCACTGGAGAATTGTCTAAATTTAGTCGGGGTGAACATATCACTGCATTTTCAGAATCCCAGGGCACTCGGTTCTTCACTCTGCACGTCTCTTTGGTCCACATATGAGTTTCCTTCTCGGATTCTGGCTTTCACAGTTTCTTCATCATCCCTATTAGAGCTTCACTATTAAACGTTTTTTCTGTATGCGCCCTCCCCAGTAGGAAAGATTTTGTTAACCAAAACAAGCAACGGTTGTTGATTTTCTTGCTGCAAAACATACTTCACCATTCCTCTCAACTACAATTTCTTAATTCATGACGTATGTTATACATATCGCAGCTGTTCGCTAAGGTACACCAAACTAAATCAAGGTTGAATTGAAAATTTTTTAAGAGTACAAAAGGCAAATTTAAGATTTTCGCCATAAAAAATACAGCAAACTGGCAGCAATAAATTCTTAAAACAGAAGAATATCCCATAATCACATACTGTAAAAATTATACAATAAACCGGCAGTAACAAGTTGTAATAAATTTATTCATCAAAATAAAACAAAAAATTGAGTAATTTAAGTCAAGTCGTGAACATAAAAGTATTAGTATATATATGAGTTAAAGTAAAAGTAGTTAATCCAAAATTAACTAAAATTGCAATAAAATTAAACCAAAACATACAGTAAGCAATTTTAGAAAGTGTTTCCATTAACTTTGGGATCATGCGACTACAGAAGTGGCATCCTTAAGACTCCAATTTCTGCGTGTATGGTTGGAATTTTGCAGAGCCAGGCCTTCAGCACCAAAACACAAGTACTGGTTCATCAACTTTTTATCTAAAGAAACTTGTTTCCTCCCACTACGTTGTGAAATTTTACCATTCAATGATTGATTCTCCAAACACATTCCTGGACTATTTGTAACATCCTTGAGTTTCTCCGAAAAGGTCAAGGAACATGAATGATCTGAAAGAGCTAAGTTTGGTGTTGCCTTAAGTACACCATGTGATAAACCTCGAGTAAATTTCTTTCTGGTTGATGGACTTGGAAGATCTTTCCTACTACAAAACACTCTTTTGTTTTTCAAGAGAGACGAAGATGATGAATATATTTGTCTAAGTGGGACATGATGTTTCTCCCAATTTCTGCACAGACTTGAAGCTTCCAGAGATTCTTCATCTATGGACTTCTTCTCCTTTGTTCTTGGCCATCTGAGGAGAAACCTCAAGCGCCTTGCAACATTTTTAACTGAAGTAGTCTTTTCGCTATCTATTGAATTACTTGAGTAATCACTTTTTTCACTCAAACAAGTACTTAGACTAACCATGCTTGCCTGATCACCATTCACATCCCATCCATTCTCAATTCCAGTGTAGAGAAATATCTCAGCATCAGGGATTCTAAAGGAAGTACCAGGACTCCTACCTATATCCTGCTCTTTGAGATGAAAAACAATAGTTCTTGCCGTATTATCATGATAATTGGAGATTCCCCCAGCAGAAATCAACTGCTTAATCAAAATTTCAGAACATACTGATCTCGGCCGCTGCTTGAGGAGATCTAATGGGGTCATCCCAACATCATCCCGGGCATTCAAATCTATTGAAGGCAGTTTCATGAGGAGCAGTACAACGTCTGCTTGGATATTGTCAATTACAGCCATGTGAAGGACAGTTCTTCCATACTGATTCTTTACATTAATGATGTCTTGAATGTTCACAACGTTGCCACTTACCAAGAGCTTCATGAGTTGAATTTGGCGGTCTATTCTTCGAAAACCAGGGGTTCGGAAACCAGCAACAACCATGTGGAGGAAAGTATCTCCATGATTGTTTGTGAGTGAGGTTAAAGAGGGAGATGCGGAGACCAGAAGTTCTACCACTGGTAAGTAACCCCTGTAAGCAGCAACGTGTAATGCTGTGTTTCCTTGATTATCTGTAGAGGTGATAATGTCAAAGGAGGATACCAAATGCTTCACAACCTGCATATATAAAATAAAACAAGGTCTTAAATGAGTGTGATAATGCAAGTTCTGTATGGGTGGACTTGCAGGAGATATATTTTTCTATTAGTTTTAGTATATGTTTCAGTTGATAAAATTACAGAACATATCTTTTTTTAATTATATAATATTTATTATATAGACTTTTTAATCAGACAAATCGCATAATATTTTGTATTATATAATTTTTATAACCTTAGACAATTCTAATATAATATAATTAATTCAATAACTAATAGAATTTCAAATGATATATTCTTAACTAAACAATTTTAGTACAATATAACTAATTAATTAATTAATTAACATAATCGCAAATGATGTCTTCTTAATTAAGTAATTTTAATCTAAGTAAAACGTTTAATTAGATAGTAAATAACGATCGGTTTTAAATTCAATAGAATTTTGAGTTATACAATTACTGAAATCCTTAATTAGACAATCTTAATTTCATTAGAATACTTTATTAAATAGTTTGTAATTTTTTTATTATTTCAAATAAGTTTTTACTTAACACCCTCCTAAACTTAGATAATTAATATAATTTTCAATTAGAAAAATCTAAAATTCATTATTCGAATCTTAAAAAGTTGAAAAATCTAAAATTCATTACTATCTGATCAACGAACCGACTAAATATTCGGTCGGACCGGGTCTAAAGGTGGGTGATACAGTGAAATAGAAGGTTACCTCAACTTGTCCTCTTCCGGAGGCGGTGTGCAAAATGGTTGAACCCTGCGCATCTCTGTACTCCGACACCCGACTGGCATCGTCATCCCCAACAAGCTCTCTCAAAATCCCTAAATTACCTCCTCTAGCCGCACTATGAACAGCTCTATTCATCATCTCCCATTTGAAAATTGATTCATTCTCACTCTTCGTTAACTCTCCTTCACCGCTCGCCAGCGCACAGAAATCAACCAACAGTTTAAACACATCACAGTTTTTGCTTCTAGCTGCTGCGTACAAAATATCAGTCACGCCATATTCACCTTCACCGAAAACGAGAAGAGGATCTGTATCGAGCAGTTGTTTAACGAAATCCACATCTCCAGCAGACGCAGCAGTGTAGAGAAGCCAGCCGCCATAGCCAGATTTAATAAGTGAATTTTGACCAGTATTTGTTTTGCAGTCGGAGAGCAATCTCTTGGCGATATAAGCGCGATGTTTGGAGACATCGTGGAATTGAGATTCGTCGTCCCAGACTGTCTCGAGACGACGAATCCGGCGCAGTGAAGTGAGCTTAATGAGGAGATTTGTGTCAAGATGAAGAAGCTCGGTGATCAGATCGTATAGACCATTTGCGGCGGCCCAATCGATTGGGGAAGCATACCACCACTGGTCTCCGGTGCTCTCCCAACGGAGTGGAAAGTATAATGGAGGCATTGTAGACAGATAGAATTAGTGGAGAATTGTTCTTCACAAATAGAGATAAGATTGAGAGGAATTAACGGAGTGGAAGAAGACAGAAAAGAGAAGTTAACTCAGAAATAGTCACTGGAAAAGACAAAAATCAGACCCGGAAAGTTGTGGAAATAGACAAAGTAGAAAGAAAGAAGGAAAGAAGGCAGTCCATGAAATCCTCCATTAATGGATTGGCCATCGTTTCTTCTCGATGAACCTAAGCAGAGATGTACGCAACTGTGCACACGATTAAACTGAAATCAGCAATTCATGATTGACGCTGATTTTTCCTCGGGGGTTGTAATAAATGGTGGAGAAATTTTTGCGTAGAAAATGGTATGAAAGGCGAGTGTATGAGAGAGAGAGAGAGAGAGAGAAGGTAATTGGAATATTAAATTAAATATTTTGAGTTAAAAAAATAGATAATAATTTAGAGGATATTAAAAAAAATGTGAAGATAAAATAAAAAGGGCGCCAACAAGGGAACATGTGACGGTTGGGATTTACTTTTTGTCATTTCCCAGTAAAGTAAATAAATCAATTAAATGATCCATTAAGGTTAGGACTCTTGATTTTTTTTTCTTTTATGAATTCTTTAAAACACATTAATTTAATAATATGTTAAATATATAAAATATATATATATATTGTTGTTTTATTTTTTTTTTTAAATATCAAAATAAAATTAATTTAATAATATATTAATTTAATCTTTTAGTATTTAATTTAATCGATACATCGATCTGTATATATGTATACATCTCCTTAATTTTTTGAAATAAAAAATGAAGATAATGTGTTAATGCTAATCATAATCATAATTGTATATATTATATCAAAATAAAATTTTATTTACTTTTAAAACATAAAGATAAAATTACTATGATAATGCATATAATAGTTATATTTTTAATTTTTTTAAATATAAGTATAGAATTTTATTTTTAATTGATTAAAAGTTATGTACCATATAATTTTTAAATACAAAAAAATTTTACTAATAGACGTAAAACCTCAAAATGTTATAAAATGGAAACATTTTGAATTAACGAAATACAAGCAAAAACAATTGAAAATTTAAAGTTTACATCTCTTACGCAGTAAATTAAGATATCTAATATGATTACAAAAATATCTCTTAAAAGAGATTAAAAAAATAAAAATAAAAATATAACTAAAATTCTATAGAGTCAACCTCTACATGGTAACCCTGATAGGACGTGGGATGTAACCTTTACTCGTTAATTTTCTTGTTGTTTAAAATCTAGATCTTAGTTTTCATGATACAAAATTATTAAATAAGGATGATGAACTACACTAACCCAGTAAAAACGTCAACATTTATCAACAGATACGGAAAATCAAAAGTTAATAAAAATCACAAAACAACCAATTGAGTCATTTTTCTTTTTAGGTAAACTTGTTTAATTTAAAAACATAAGTTTCATACTCACTTTTTGAGTTCTCAAATTCGACTTGTGAAAGCAATAATCAAGATAATAATTCATTATACATTTCAATAAATAATAATAGCCAAACTTTACATTTTTACCTACTTACCGATACCTCTGGGGGTCCATAGGAGTTCCCCCTATGCGTAAACCCAATGTCTAATTTATTAATTAACTAGCCATCTCCATGCCTTGTTTGATAATGGACGTCAAACATACCACCACCTCAATACCCATTCTGATAATAGGGGTGAACAAATCATAATACCTGAGTCCGAAATTTGGTCCGAGATCAATTTTCATATTTTAAAAAAATAATAATAATTAAAAATATTTTTTTATTTAATTTTATTAAATTATTTGAGAAAAATAAGTTAGAGACGTAATCGGAAGCAATTTTGGGGAATATGGATGAAAATTTGAGTTCGGGAAGTATTTTTGAAAGAAAAATTAGAAATAAGGAGGTCAAAATGCAAAAAAAAAAAATTCTGCCACATGGGACGGCCCAGTCAGCAACCACGGTGAACCAGAGCATGCCGTGTGGTAAAACACGCTGACATCGGCGACATGCGGCACCGAACTCCAACGCTAGCTCCACCGCCTACGGTGGTGTCTCCTCTCAATCTGGCTAGTTTCGGCAGTTTTGGCCAATTTTGTGCGAAAACTTATAAAAGATGAGGTTAGATGGCCTCTGTTAGCTGAAAAAAGGGAAAACTCAAAGCTTATTAGTGGGGTAGTTTTTTGGTGCAGTGTATAACACCCGGGCCCAAAAATTAGCCTATGATGATTTGTACGGATTATGAATATATATAATAATTAAAAAAATTATTTTATTTTAATTTGATTGAAGTTTTGAGAAAAAATGAAATAGGGACGAAATTGAAAATAACTTTGGGAAGAAGGGGTGAAAATTTGAGTTTGGTGGATGTTTTTGAAAGAAAAATTAAAAACAGGAGGTCAAAGTGCAATTAAAAAAAGTTCGGCAATGTAGAACTGCCCAATCAGCAGTCTCAATGAACCGGAGCGCGCCACGTGGCCAAGCGCGCTGACGTCAGTGTCACGTGGGAGGCCACACTAGCGATCTACGTGTCCCGCGACCGAACGATCCAGGATCGATCCCTCGCGCCCGCGATTGAACAATCCAGGATCGATCCTGCATACGTGGACAGTCCAGATTCATTTTTTCCTTAAGCACGATCGAACAGTCGAGATCAAACGCGATGAACAGTTCAGATTCATTTCTCTCTTAAATGTGATCAAACGGTCGAGATCAAATGCGATGAACGGTCCAGATTCATTTTTCTTGTAGACACAATCGAACGGTCAAGATCGATTGCGATAGACGACCCAGATTAACGGATGATGGTATAAATATTTTACATTACGCAAAACCCAAATTCTAGCCATCAGCCTCCCCCCCCTCCCCCGCGATTAGAGAAGAAGAACCAAACGCTAGAGAAGAAGCCGACTGTTAACCGCCGCCGCACCGGAACCACCTCCGATCATCAAAAAAGGTAAAAATTTTCTTACCCACTCAGAATATGATTCCGAGCACATCTGTAGCCATCGAAGCAAAACGAATGGCGGGTGAGCCACAAACTGCGGGCAAAGTCCTGCGGGGGCACTGCGATCCAAAACCTGCAACCCCCTCTTATGAGCCCCTTTTCAATTCCCATTTCGTGCGATTTTTTTACTGTTATGTTCACCATTCTGTTTTTTGCAGATTGACTGAAAGAAGAATTCCAGCCATGAAGGAGAGCCAGCGGAGCTGCCGCACCGGAAACCCTACCACCAGTAGGTTTCAGTTTTTTGATATTTTTTGGGCTAATTAAGACTCCCTAACATATGTTTCGCAGGGATATGTGTAAAATCGGCCTAAACCAGCTAAAAACAGCTAGGTCGAGGCAAACCTCCGCCGCCGTGCTGGAATTCTGAAATTAGCCGAAAGGAATCTTTAACAGTGATTTTGGGTTTTAGGATATTTTTTAGGTATGTGGAGCACGTTTAATGTCCACAAGAAAATTCAAGAAAGTCAAGGACCGCTAGGAGGCACAGTAGAAAATACGGTATTTCAGACATTGATTTGGATAAGAATCCTTTATCCTATTCTCTATTATGAAATTGAAGCTTAATAATCAATAATATAGTATTTTGAAAAATTTAGAAAATTTTAAGAATAATTACATGTCACTAATGAAGCCGGAACCAGTTAGTTATTTATTTGTCCTGTTTAACTGATTATTTACTTGTACAGACTTAAATATATGATAATCTATTGAAATAGTTAAATGATTTACTTGTATTTTCTTGATACATATATCGCTTGTTTTGCGTGATTTACGATTGATTGTGAAGCGTGAAATTTATATACAAATAGGAAATTATTTGATGATGTGAATTAATAAATGGTTGTCTTATTGGATATCCTGCGAAATGGTGGATGGATCGGGTATATAGGGAACCCTACCGTGAACATCACCTCATACTGGACGGGGTATCGAGGGAGGGTATTTTTTTCGCTCATACCGGACGAGGCATGAGGATAGCCCGGTTCACCCTCATGCCAGATGGGGTATCGAAGAATAATATTTTTGGCGCTCATACTGGGCAGGATATGGAGACGGCCAGATAATTAACAAGTTTAGATATTGAGTTCACGTGTAGGGGGACATCCCTATAAACCCCTAGAGGTACCAGTAAGTAGATAAAAAGAGAAAAAATTGTTGTTCTTACTGAGGTGTATAAGAAATCATAATGTTATTTAAATTATTGTCTCTATAGATTAAATTTGAAAATCTCATAATGGTAAGTATGTAATAAATAGTTTTCCTTGGGATAAATGAACTTACCTAAATTAAGAGCTCCAGTAATCGTTTAATATTTTTTATCAACCTTTAGTTTCTGTATCGGTGAGTAATGTGATATTCTTATTGAGCTACTGTAGCTCACCCCTATTAACTATTTCAGATCAAAAAGATCAAGACTCATATCCTAATCGGCAAGAGAGCTGTGAGTAGATGTCCCCCGGATCCTGTCAAGAGCTAATAGAGGTTAACCTCCCTACAACATTTATTTACTATTTTCATATGCTTATTTCGTTTTTTTATGAACTGTTATGAAATGGACATTTTTGTAACCCTATTGGACATTCAAATTTATGTGTAAGGAATGTAAACCCTAATGTTATTATACGCTTCCGTATTAAATTAAAGAATTTATTTTTCTTTTAGCTCCGGGTTATTACACAGCAGCTCCGCCATTCATCTCTCGCAGTCGGGGATTTTATTCTATTGATCTATACTAGAGAAGGGTTAGGGATACATCAGTCAGAAAATGGAAAGAAACGAAAAGTGAGATCGAGCTCACTAGAGCAGTTTTGGGTCGCAGGTGTAGCAGTTCGGTCGAGCTCCACTCTCGATTTTTGACTTTCCTTTTGGGTCTCGATTTCTGACTTTCTTTTTGGACTTTCGGTGCTGATATGGGTGTGGGGATGCTTAGAATCGAATTTTGAAGCGAAATGGGAAAAAACTCACCTCCCCAATGTCGGCAGCGGCTCTAGTGCAGTGGCAACGGTGGTCGGCTTCCTTCTGATTGTCTTTATTCTTCTTCTCTAGGTGCGGGTAGAGTTAAGGTTTTACGAGAAGCGATGTTTAAATACCCTCTCCGCATCGATTTGAGTTATATGTGCAGGGACACGTGGCCCACTTCTAGCCCTTGAATAACTCTTATTTGGGGAATGAATCTTGACCGCACGATCGGATTAAATCTAGTCGTTCGATCTCGCTTAAAGATGAAATGGATTTAGGCCGTCCATGCTCGCAGAATAAGATCTGGGTCGTTGGATCCGTTGGCATACGGATCGCCCGCGTGGACGCGTGTCCGCATGTCTGCCACACGGCGCACGACGATTGGTCGTGCTGTTGACATGGCAATCCATGTGGCTAAATTTATGTTATTTTTACTTTTATCCCAATTTTTCATACTTCTTTTCAAATATGTCATTTCTTATTTCTATTTTGGTTATAATTTTTGAAAATATTTTCAAATACATCCAAAACACAATTTTTTTCAAATTTTTAAATAAAAACTGGAAATAAATTTTTTTCTAATTTATTTATTATTAAATTGATTATCTCGAGTTTAAATTCCTGGATAGGTGTTACAATAAACGTAATAATTATTCACCTAAAAATTTTAAATATAAATAAAATTTAATTTTAGTTATTTAGAAATTATACACTATATGGTTAATTTTAAAAATATGACTCATGTATACCACATAACAATATCTAGTAATTGATAATATAAATTGTCACAAAGCTTGCTACTTTTTTTGGCATACTATTTTAAAATATAAATAACTAATTAAAATATATATTTTCAAATAAAAAATAATACTTAATATTGAATTGTTTAATTATATAATATCGTGTAAATTATATATTATTTATAATAATAATAAAATAAAATAAATTTCATTAGTTGGATCACGTGCTGCAGCAGGATCTCCTCTATGCTGTATATGTATATATTTTTTTTATTAAGGCATTAATGAGTGTCTAAAGTTTTATTTAATTGATTAATTTATTTTTATTGAATAACAAATTATTCAATATTTAGATAGTTTTAAACTTCATGGCTCCGTAACAATTCAAATCAAAAGCTTTTTTTTTTTTTAAAGGAATCTATTAAAACAATTACTCAAGTAGTACAATAATATTGAATAATTAATAAAATAACAAAAAATCTCGAGAAACGCTTGCAATCTTATGAGCAACCTCGTTTTAATTATATTTAACCCAATTAACTGATATATCTATGCAATACGTTCTCGTATTTGAAGAAGACACGCGAAATGATCTCTCTTCTAAGTCGCATTTAGAATATGCGATATTAATTTCAATGCCTTTTTTCTTTCAAGATTGCTTTCAGTAGAATTAGATTGTACATTATAACACTACATGTAACGGCCCCGGAAATATTAAAATGAAATGAGTATTTAAATATATCAAATGCGAAAGCGAGATCAAAAGGCAAGGGGTTATAAATAGAACCTCCACACCAGACCAAAAACCCTAGCCGCCAGCCGCTCGCCGGAGAAGACGAACCAGAGGCCGACGCCGCCACCCGACGCCACTCGCGCGCACGGGGAAATTTCCGACCGCCGATTGAGGTAAATTTCATACCCCCGACTCGTTTTCCCCGCTGATTCCTCCTATGGGCCAAATCGAGGCCGAAATCCCGGCCAAACGGCCGGAATACGCGGCCGAAGCCCAGCGGCGCCGCCGCGCCCCCTCTCGGTTTTTGCCTCCGACGAGGCCCTTCCCGGCCTCCGTTCGATGCAATTTTTATATCACCGTGATCACCATTCTTTTCTCTACAGGTTGACCGAAGCCGAATCACCAAAACACGAACCTCGCCGGAGAGCCGCCGCACCCGAGAGCGCCGCCGCCGGTAAGCTCCGTTTTTCCGTGATTTTTTGGCCCCCCGAGGGCCCTAGGGTTGTTTTCTGACAAGGACCAATGCGAGTGTGGCCGAATTCGGCCGAAAACGGCCGAAAACAGCCAACCCGAGGCGACTCGCCGCCGCTGGCGGCGGCGCCGTCTCCGGAGCACGGCGAAGCCGCCGTGCCGGAGTTGCGATTTGGGCCGAAAGAGGCCCTGGGCCTAATTTGGGTTTTTTTTTTGGAACACGTGCAGGTACTGTTAGTGTGTTTCAGTTCCCCGGGAAAAATTCAGGAGAAAATTAGGGACGGCCTGCAGGCGCACTGTGAATCGTATTCGGATCCCGAAAACAAGTAAGGACCCCTCACCCTATTTTCTATCACGGTATTAAAGTTCAAAATGATAAAACGGTATTTCTTGAATTAATGAATGTGTGAAATTGCTTAAGGTGGCTAATGGAGCCCGAGTCTAGTGTGATTGGTGATTTACTGTTATTTGGCATGTTTACAGCTTTAAATGCAAAATGAGGTTTGATGTGTTCATTTTACAGATTTGTGTGCATATACTACGTTTTTATTAATCATGGGTTGAATGACTGAAAAACTGATACTGTATGTTGTCTGTTTGGCATGAATTACTGTTTTGCTTGTTTGTATGTGAATTGATGATGCTGACTGAGGAAAAGGAAAATGAAAGATTGTGTAGACTGATAATTGTATTATGGGGGTCAGCCTGACTAGATATCTTGGGAGATGGTGGACGGACCGGGTCCGTAGGGAACCCTACCGGGATTGTGGTCTCACATGCCGGACGGGGTATGGAGATCTTATGGTTTTGGCGCCCATACCGGACGGGGTATGGGGACGGCCCGTTTCACCCTCATACCGGACGGGGTATTGAGGTTTATGGTTTTGGCGCCCATACCGGACGGGGTATGGGGATGGCCCGTTTCACCCTCATACCGGACGGGGTATTGAGGTTCATGGTTTTGGCGCCCATACCGGACGGGGTATGGGGACGGCCCTGGAAACTGATTATGAATGTTTTAAGGTTAACGGGTAGCGGAACCCCTATGGACCCCCACGGATACTAATAGGCTGGTAAATGAGAAAAAGATATGTTGTACAATGATTGAATTACAAGAGGCGTGATAAGTGTTATGTTTTACAGCTTATATTATTCAATGATTATGATAATGTTATTGTTTTTCTTATATTGTTTTCATAAATTCCACCGAGGTAAGTGGATGGTAAAGGTTTTCATGTTAATAAACGAGTTTGTTGTAAATTATGCTCCATTGGTCTTTTTGTGTTTTTCTACCCACCTTTACCTCCGTGACGGTGAGATATCGTGATGTTCTTACTGGGCTAGTGTAGCTCACTCCTTATTTAACCATTTCAGATCAGGAAGACATGGTTCCCGAGCCCGTTCCGCAGGAGGACGACGAAGGGGATGCCTAGAGACTCTGTAGTCATACTCATAATTTTATTTTCGAGTTTCTCTCTTAGTTAGTTTAATCTTTTATATTTTAAGTACATTTTTAGTTTTTCGTGTAAGAGATGTTAACTGAAATTTTGATCTCGCTTCCGCATTTGATATATTTAAATACTCATTTCATTTTAATATTTCCGGGGCCGTTACACTACATATTTATAAAAAAAAATCTCACAAAAATATAAAATTTGAAAAGAATAAATTTAACTAAAATATATCTTAAAATTTTGTTAACTAATAAATTTTATAACTCAAAACTCAAAAAATTCAAAGTTCTTAAATATGATGATTTATTAATCTAAATACAAAATTTAATTAATGTATTTAATTATCTAAATTAAAATTCTCATTCACTTATGCCTCCCAAGATTTTCATACACATCTTATCTTTTAAAATTTATAAATAAATAAAAATAAGGCAAGCTCACAATTTAGAAAATAATAAAAAAAATTAAACTAGTCTAATCAAGTATTTTTTTTTTATAATTATAGCAAAATTAATTTTGGTGCATAGTACAAAAAAGTGAAACTACAAAATAGTTTAAACAATGTTGTTATGAATTGCAAATTACAATATTTAATTCACAATCAATATTAATTCATTTCAACTTCACTAAAGGTTGTATACAATTTACGTTATATTAATCTAATTGTATTTTTGGTTTTCATAAATATATTTTAGTAGATAATTAAAATATAATTACGTATTAACCATATTATATGTTTTGATAAAATGTAATTAATTATTAAAATATAAATAACTCAGCCAAGTATAAAAATTATTAAGAGACATATTTAGTACTTAACACCCTTATTGGAAGATTTCTCATTGTGAGTTTTAATGGATCTGTAGTTGGGCCCTTGTCCAATGACACAACACCCGCCAAGCACCCTTTCAAGTCAGCTAAAGCACCAATTTCCCGCCAATTTGCAAGACGAACCCTAGACACACAGAGAGAGAGAGAGAGAGAGAGAGAGAGAGAGAGAGAGAGAGAGAGAGAGAGAGAGAGAGAGAGAGAGAGGCATGGAAGCTGAAATCAAAGCAGAATTCTACAAGAGTGGCTTCACTCTCGACGAAGAAGAAGATATTCTCAGGAAGTGTGAGTATCTAATCTCCTCTCTGCCCTCGAAGTTTAATCACATTAGCTGAGACTAACATTCTCACCTCTGAATTTTCTCGATTAGGCCTTACTTTCTGTATAAATTACGACCTCAAGCCCTCCGATATCGTTTCCAGCTGGGAGGTTTACTACCTTAATCGGTAAATCACTTTATTCATCAGAAAATTTCAGCACTAATTTGTTAGTTTTTCTTCGATTTTGATTCATTGTTAGTGGAATTTGTATATATATGCTTCGATATTATTATTATTATTATTATTATTATTATTATTATTATTATTATTATTATTATTATTATTATTATTTTCACTATCGTGTTAGGCTATTGTATATTTTGATGGTATAAGTATGTGTATATTGGGGTTACTGTCTCAACTCTTGCGAATTTAGGAATATTCTTTTTGAGTAAAAGAAGTTTAAGATTCGAAACGCTCTAATATATAGTTCCCTAATGTCATAGTCTCAGCAAAAGGCAATGAATATCGCATTTGTCAACTTCATTTCGTTGATGAGCATGTGGTGTTGTGACCAGGAAGCTGGACTATTAGGAGATGATTTGTTCATTTTTACTTTTCATTTTTCTGGTGTGAAGGTTATGGATTCTTCATATTATGTTTACATGGAAATGCAATTATGTTGGGGCAGGCAACTACATGAATCAACAGTACAAAATGCTGAAATGGAAGGTTTTTTGTTGCACCTGCAGAATGAACGAAAAGAGGCAGTCATTAAAGAGGAAACTGGTTTGCATGTCTACTCAAGCAAAGATGTGGAAATGTGAGTACATTCTTTAATTTCTAGTTATTCAACTTGCAGGCTTATACTGTTTGTTTGATTCCTCATCTAAATCTTCTTATCGTGACGTAGAGCTGATAAACAATGAGATCTTTTAATCTATTTATAGACAGTTTTACTCTGATCAATTCATTCACCTAGACCCTGCTTAATGAAACTAGTGATATTCTTCAACTTAAGAAATACTTGATAATTTGAGCTCCTTTGGATCTATTTACAGCTGCTTAAATAACTTTCTGAGACTGTACCAGAAATTTGGAAATAGTCATGTGGTTTATCCCCCCACCCATTTCCACATTGTGTCTGCAACCATGTCCTTACCTTCATATTGTCATTTTTGTGATGGAACTGACTATTTGATTCATATTTGTTCACGTTCTAATTAGAATTATTAAAATAGGCTGAGTTTAGTTCCAAATTCCTTGATAAGAGGAGAACTGTATAGAAGGGATTGGTTCTGTTCAAGAAAACAGAAAAAAGATTAGGGGAAGAATTTATTTCTTTAAAAGAATGTGAATGAATGATAGAAAAACTTTTGTATAGGATTCTAAATGATGAATATGAAGACACAGAAGAAGGCTCACTTGGCACTCCAACAGACAAGTCTCTAAAACCCTGTTCAGAATCATTTGATTCATCGTATAAAAGAAATGGGTACGCTTATTCTTCTGGAAAATCATCAAAACTTTTGACACCATTTGGGCAGCGGACAGTGAAGTTTGTGGTGAAATTCAACATCAATAATCTACCTACAATAGAGAATGGAAGCAATGAAGACAACCAGGAGAATTTTGAAGACAGCATTATTAGGAGGGTTCAACCTCGGAAGAGGTGTTCCTTGATCGTTCATGAATCAGGACCTGAACCAGGCTGTAGATTCATGTATGAAAGGATTGAAGACAGGGTATCTGAAACCTCTTATGGCATAAAACATTTTCTATTTCCTCTTTAGATGTATTGCACTTAAAGGGAACATTGTTTCTTGTACAGTTCAATGCACTTGAAAATCGCATTAGGAAGCACGGAGCTGCACTTGTTGCTTCTGGGCTGTATGAAGAACCAGTGGATCCATCTATAGCTTCACAGGTAACTTCTTGCTTCAGTCTTTTAGCCTCCTGTATCACAGATAAAGGATGCAGAAGTGTGTATCTAATGGAAATTTCCTGCTCCAGAGAAGTGTATTTGCCGTTGGGATGATCTGTTGTGATGGGGAGGGCCATTTGAATGAGAACTCCATTCTGTTGCAAAGCAGGTAAAAACATTTTGGATTTTTGTACTATCCATATCAATCCATTAGGGAAGAGAAAGCTTGTTCCTCAAGTTGTATTACCTGCACAATCCTGTTAAGGATCATGTGAACATACTCTCTGATGAAGATTTAGTCACATGAAAATGTAGCCTTGGGAATCATTTGTGATAAAATGATTAATTTTTTCATATGGAAAAGCAAGTCTTCGCAAGACGGTTTACTTTACCAACGAACGGGGTGTGGGCCAAGATGACGAAAGTTTTGATTCAACGCAACGACGGATAACCCTGAAAGGCAAACAAACTCAAACTGAATAAAAGTGCAAGGGCTGACTGACGATGAAAAAGGAAAGGAGTCTCTCTTGTTAGAGCGGGAGATAGCTTGACTTTTGGTCCCGTTTGGTTGGTTCCAACTATCTCCCAGAAAGCCAAGAGCATTTTTCTAATTTAGAATATCTTTATTTAGAGATTAGGCAAAGAAAGAATTGACTCCAAGGGAACGCCTTGGCCAGCTGGTTCCTGAAGGTTTTGTATCCCAGCCATAAAAAACCCTAGATATGTCAGGTCGTTAAGATCAATGTGTGGAATAATCCTTTGGAATGCCTAGATTTAAAAGAGGATCAGTGTGACAATTCCCGATAATGGCATGGGGTAACCACTTTAGGTTGATTAGTAATCTATCTGGCTGTAGACTACCTATGTTTGCTGTCAAAATTTAGTTTAACAGATTTTTTTACAGTGTTGAGCATGCTGGGGGGCAGCGTGTTCGGCTAGATTTGCATAAAACGACCCAGTTTTCAATATTTCCAGGCCAGGTAAAAGCATGGAATAAGTTGAATTATAGCTTTTAATCTGTATCAGGAATCCTAAATATTGCATGTATATAGGTTGTAGGCATTGAAGGCCACAATCCTAGTGGGCATTGTTTAATTGCTTCAAAGCTTGTAGATTATGTACCTCTGTCCATAACTGATGACGTGGATTTGCATCCTGCAAAGAAACAAGCCATAGATCACAATAGCCATTCAATTGAAGAGCCATCCTTTAAATCAGCAGAGCTTTCAGTGGTGTGTAAGCATTCATGTTATATTACTTTAAAGAGCTTTTAGTAATGTGATATCTTGTGCCAATTGGCCTATACATTTAGCTGCCTTTACTGTCTTTTGATTTTTGTTGTGCTGTATTATTCATCATCTTTTTATGGATATCCACATTATGTTATAAGCTTAGAAACTTTGAGCTTTTGAAAAATTTAAAAGCAAACCTTCTATTTTCTAAACATGTAAAAGAGAAGCAGAATCGCCTCTCTAAATGATAAGAGATGAGGATTTTCTCTATTCTCTCGGAGCTTCTTTAAGAGGAAAACAACTTTTAGATTATGTACCTCTCTATGAATCCCATTTGCTAACTGAAAAACTACTTTTCCATTCTTGATATGGTAGTCTCCACCACACCACCTAAAGAGAATGAGTAGTACAAAATTTATTAGTTTCAGGTGAAAAGGATCTACAGCAATCACTTTTTCTGGAAGAATCTACTGCAGTTATGCTTGCATGAATTTGTTGCACTTATTATTTTTAGTAACTTGTAGCTCATATTAGATTAAACTCTGTTGTGTTTTTTGTTTTATTTTTAGGCGTAACATATTTATAGAAAAAGATTTAGATGACTGTCTTCATCTCTGAAGATTACTTGTCCTAAAGTTTTTGGTATTTTATCAGATTATTGCATCTGGCCCTTTTACGACAACAGACAACTTATTGTTTGAGCCTCTAAGTGAGCTGCTAGCATATGCAAGAAGAAAGTCACCACAATTGCTGATATTGGTCTGTGCCCTCTATATTCAATTCAGTGATCTGTAAATATTGCAGTATTGGTCAACATAGGAGGTTTAACGTCATTGACTATTTTACCTTCTCAGCTAGGACCATTTATTGATTCTGAACATCCTGAGATTAAGAAAGGAACTATAAATGAGAGCTTTGATGAATTATTCCAGATAGAAGTTTCTAGAAAGGTAAGAAGGGAGATAGATAGCATGTGATTTATTTGAGGTGAAATTTTGTGTTCCTTCACTGAAATTTTGATTTCTGTTTTGCTCGTCCCCTTTTCTTCAATCTAGTTACAAGATTATGTGGAGTATATGGGTTCAGGTGCACGTGTAATTATTGTTCCCTCCATACGGGATGCTAACCATGACTTTGTTTTCCCCCAGGTGATTCTATACTTTAATGATGCATATACTTTTCTGCTTGATTAGCGAGTATTAATTGAAAACACACAATGTATAGTAATGAGATTGAAATTTATGTACATGCAGCCTGCTTTTGATATTCAGCTACCTGATCTCAAACATCAGGTACCTAATTTTGAACTAATTAAGCAGTCTTGTCTTTTAAACTAGTAAGAGTTCTTATAGTTTCCTACTTTTAGTAAACACTTACATGATTCTATGATCTCTTTAAACCAGATATCATGTCTCACAAATCCAGGGATATTTGAGGCAAATGAGGTAAATAGTTGTTCCCCTTTTTTGAATTATGACTTGTCATGCTTGATGCTGATCTCTATCCATCTTAGTAATGGGTGATTTCATGGTCGAATGTTGTTAGAAACCAAAATCAAAATAATATCAAAATCGGTTAAGTGACAGGTTGTCGCTTCTTAAGTAGTCAGAATCTCTTACTTTGCAAATGAGTCAGCAACTCTATTTCCGGAATTCAACTTAGCTTGGTTTAATCTCGTTCTTTATAGTTGTGCTAACCATAAAAACGAAGTACTTTTCGTTCTCAAAACCAAATGTCCAAATTTAGAGACTACTTCAATTCAATTTTTTAAGTAATTGTTTTTTCATTTTTCCTTAAAAATAATGTTTTTAATTATTAATAAAAAAATAATTTTTTAAAAAGAAAATTAAAACATAAATATTTAAACATAAACATAATTTGATATTCAGCTACCCATCTCACCCCGCCTGGCCATATATATAATTAATAAATTATTAATTTTATTCTAATTTTACTCAAGTTAATTAAATCTTGATTAATAAATATTTAATATTTGTATATTTATAATGTTATTTTATATTTTTTATTTAGTATTATATTTAAATATTATTTTTGAATTATATTTTATAGTAATTAATATTTATTATTTTTAATTAAATTTATTTATATATTTTATAAAAAATTAAAATTAAAAAAAGGTAATCAGGCGGGTAAGAGATGAAAAGTTTTATCTGAGAGGTGGATAGCAGGGAAAAAAAATTTATTCACTTTGGATATGGAGCATGTATGGATTCATATTTTTGTTACTAGGACGGATATGAGACTTAACTTGATTGCATCCTATGCCAATCCCTATTTTTAACGCCTTGGTCCTACAATTACTGATTCTATAATTTTTGAACATTCTCAAAAACTCAAGTTTAAGTAGTTGGGTATAAATTGAGCTTCATATAATATTATATATTTTCAATGCGAGATTGAAGTATCACAACAAAAAGAGTCAATAGTTTAGATTCAAAAGTTGTTAGTTTAGTGGCTCTTAAGCTCAAGGAATTACATACGTTCCTAAAGAAATGTTTATCCAAACATAATTTGAAAGTTTATGATGTATTTGAAAGCAAAAATTATCTTAGAACATATTTAAATATTTTAAATTAGTATAGAAATTTTAGCATATCTGAAATTAATGATAGTGTTAGTGACCTTTTAATAATATATACACGTAAAAAATATCAACATGCACTATTAAAATTATGCTTATACCAATATGTTGATTCGTACATCAAAAGAGCAGAAGTTATGGTTAGTCAATGTCACTTACGGTTTATAATTTCCCAACAAATGTGATTCCACGACAGTATGTTTGCGAGTTCCACATTACAGTATGGGGGGTAAATGACTAAAGTGAACTAGGATATGATAATAATCCTGTTTGAGAGTGTCTGAAAAGAGAATAAGGATGAAGTAAGATTCATTAAACCCCGTTAACCTTCAACTGTCCAACCTTCCAATGGAGGATTTCATATTCATTTAGCATTATATAATATATATATATATATATATTGTAAGGTCAACCTTTTAATTTATTTTTTTTACAAAAATCAGCCTTTTAAGGAAGCTGAACCTCTCAATGTACTTTGCTTTTTCCAGTTCATGCACTGCTCGCCAGTTGGTGCGTTCTCTTAAATTTTTTGTGGTTATAGCTAATGCATTGAGTTGCATTAATGTAGATGAGCTGTTTGCATTTAATGGTGGTTTTCGGCAGTATTTGCATTAATTCTTTTGGGTTTCAGGTCAAGGTTGGTTGTTGCACTGTGGATATTCTTAAACAGCTAAGTGGGGAAGAGATGTCAAGAAATCCAAGTGGAATTCCCAATGATCGGATGGCTCGACTTGCAAGCCATGTTTTTAAGCAGCGAAGGTACCAAATTGTCAATGCATAAAATTTGTTGGCATACAATTCTACTGATAAATCAATATGATTAGAGATTTTTAAGTATCTTATGACCCCTATATTGTTGAAACAGCTTTTATCCTCTGTATCCACCAGCAGAGAGTGTTCCATTGGATTTCTCATTTTCTCCTGAAGCCCTTCAATTCTCTTCAATTCCAGACATTCTCATCCTACCTTCCGACATGAAGTACTTCGTAAAGGTAAGTGCTTCCATGAACTGAGTCCATATTTACAGTAGTAATCTAATTTTGCTTTGAAGAAGAATCCTGCCAAGTGAATAACTTCAAATAATCAGTTAACGGTAGAGAATCTTTAAGAAGGAAGCTTTTGTGCATCAGCCAACTCATTTTGTCTGTCAACAGGTGTTATCTTTTGGGGGAAGTGAAGGGGAAGGGCAGATGAATTGTGTGTGCGTGAATCCAGGAAGATTGACCAAAGGAGAAGGCGGAGGCACCTTTGTTGAGCTGGACTACAATGGGAGTCCTGACATGATGAATGCTTCTATTATTAGCATATAAATCTTGAGATGAGGCTGTGCATTTCAGATCTTGCAAGATTTTCCCTGAGAAGCTTCCTCCAGGAACCAAAGATTTCAAGTGCACTGAGCAGAAAGTTTAGCAGCAACTAATTGGGTATATCAAGTTGACAGAGGAACCTCCCCCGTCTGCTCTAGCATGAAATCTGTTGCGTCTGAATTATATTTTGATCTTTTTTCCTTCCCTTTTGATAATTTATCCATGTAATATTCTTCCATATCATCTAGTGGTCATAAATTTATCACCATGATTCGTTTTGCATTTGTGAAATTAATAGATGCTGCATACAAGTCAGGTAATATATATACAAAGAAAGATAAGGAAACACATTCCTGGCTCATCCTCGTGGTGAATCCTGCGAGCAGAATCTTACATTTGTATCAACTGAAAAAAAATAATTAGCCCCTGAAATTACAGGAAAATTCACCAACAAATATCATAATTGCGACCCACTCAAACAAAAACCTAAAAATCGAAGGAACCAAATTATTCTACCTCTGTTTTTCTAGAAGTGCTTGTCCTTTTTGTGTAAACCAGTCTACCCAATGATTGAAAACCCATGATATGCTAATCAAGATTGCAATGCTAATCACAGTAAGCCAAGAAACCCAAGCCCATGTAGGTATAAAATTATTTGCTCCTCCGCTAAGATAGAAAATTCCAATTTTATACACAACAAAAGGCCCAATAATTCCCCTCGCAACAGAATAAAAAGCATAGAAGAAAGGAGACATTAACTCATGCAAGTTCTTTGCGGCAGGCACATGAGTCTTCCTGAAATCAGCAAGTGTCCAAATGTTCTGACACGCGCTTGTAACCTCAGCAAGAACAAGAAGTATAAGCAGAGCAAAAGCTCCATGACACACCACGTATCGACATGTTAGAAATACATAGAGGGTTGCCAGATGATGGAGTATGAAAAGAATATCAGATGGGAAGAAAACCAAGTAGTGGAGAAGATCAAGCAAGAAATAAGCTATTCCGTAATCAAGTACCATGTTTTGCAAAGGCGTGTTTGGAGAAGAGAAATTAGTGATTTGGGCGGTGAGAATGGCAATGGTTGCCATGAAAACAGCAGGTGTTCCATGAGCTAGAGAAGCCAAACAGCTTGCGGCTTCGGCTCGGTGTGTGTCGCCCCAATGCCGGAAAATTAGAAAGTAACCAAACAAGTAAATGAAGAGAAACATGAAAAAGAATGATGCAACACTCGGGTAATTCATACTTGAATCAATACAGAAAAGAAGTTTCAAAAGTGTTTCGAGACTCCCAAGAAATGGCAGCAATAGGAATTGAATTGAGAGAGAGAGAGAGAGAGAGAGAGCTCTAAAGGATGGAATCGATGCAATAAGGATAGAAATGACAGGAGAAGATAAATTGAATTTGTGAAAGAAACAGGGGAAATATTGTGTGTGTTTTACGCTTAAAATGATTTTTGTTTCTCCCACGTTTAGCAAAATTAACTTCATTTCTGTAACTTATTTAAAAGATGTCGTAAAGAATTTTTATAAAAAAAAAATAAACTTAAACTTCAAAAAGATTTAAAATGCAAATACGAACGCATTATCCCTCAATTTCCAACATATAATTTATTAAACCATATCCTTAAAAAGGGAAGAAAAGAAAAGTTGGGTAAGCAATTGAGAGAATTACACGACGAATGTGGTATAATTTTACCATTATTTTTAATCACTTTTTTAAGGAAGTTTTTTATTTATTTATTTATTTATTGTGGACTGAAAGTTCCAAACTTTTACTTGTTTAAGGTAAATTAACTTTTACAAATAAATACAGTTTTTAATGAAAAATATGAAAAAAAAAAAAGAGAGAGTCATAAATTCATTCTTCATACTTCAAAGTTAATAATAATAAATAGAATATTCCAATTCTTTGTAATTGAGGGGAAAGAATATGCCTTCTTTATTTTCATCCGGTGGCTGTCCTTTTTCTAAGAGTTGAATTATCCGTTCTTGTTTTGGCTAAAAAATATATTTACATGAGTATATATATATATATATATATATATATATATATATATATATATATAACACGGACACGCACACACGCAAGAGCCCAGCAAAAGCTTACTTGTAAGGAAGGCTTATTTGTGTTGTTTAAATTTTATGCTATATTTTAATTTACATAAATTAATTTATAAATAATGAATTTTTATGTTAATTAATTAATAAGACATTATTATAATTTAAATTATTAAACTTTAAAAAAAATAATAAAATCAACGAATTTAAATTTTAATTCTTTAATAGTGCCCCATAGTGTTTTGATAATAAAAAAATGTGTTGGTAAAAAATATTCTCATCCATTTGAAAAACTAAAATCTAATTATTATGAGATTAAAGTTCAAATAATAATAATAATAATAATAATAATTTTATTACATTTTAAATAATATTAAATGTGTAAATTAATTAAGTCTAATAACAGAAAATTTAAATTATGTTATAAAAATAAATAAATACAAATACAAAAAAAAATACTAGATTTTACGTAAAAAAAAAAAATCACGGATTAAATTTTAAATTAAATACAATATTAAGAAAATAATGAATAAAGATAATTTCAAATTGATCACAAACTTAGATTCTATAATCAATAAATATTCAAATTATCTATCTAAACAACATCGTACAAATTTTTCATATTTGGTTGTAAATACTAAAAATAAATAAATTTTCAAATAATCTTGAATAACAAATATCTATTAATTTTTTGAAAAATCAAAATATCTAGTCAATAAATAGAGAAAATGACATTTTTAAAATATTGTTAATATGATTGCTAATTTTTATTCTTTTTCTTTAAATTATTTTTTTCTTTAAATAAATATAAATTAAATATAAATTATAAAAAACTAATAAAATAATATAAAATCATAAAATAATTTTTAACGTTAATATTTAATTTAATACTTTTTAGTTACTATTTAAATATTATCACATATCTTAAAAATATTTTTTAAAAATATTGTAGATTAACAATAGTAAAAAAAAAATAATAATAATTATATAATCGTCAGAGTGGTAATATTTTTAAAATTTAATGTCCACGTTGACATATTTTTTGTTATGTAGACATCTATCTCATAGTATTAAACACAGTAGTGATAAAAATTTATTATGACAGAATTTTAAAATACATGTTATATTTAAAATGAAAAATGATTGACAATTCGATTTGAATTTTTTTGAATGACAGTAGGATTTTTGAAATGTTATTCCTTTATAGACACAAAACATGTAGAACTCATTTATTTATAAATCAATCTTTCTTTTTTTTTTTTTAGTGGTTTGTGCTCCATTTTTTAGATAAAAGAGTAGTTTAGTTCAAATCTTAAATTATAAGTCTTAATAGTGTGCAAAGAAAAAACACTTAATTATCCAATTTTTCTATTAAACAATAGATTATAGCCATATTTTTCAAAAAATTTATGATAATAAAAATTATCTAAGTTTTATATTATATCTTAACCATCTCGTTCGTGCATAAGATGAATTGTGTTTAATGTAATATTTAGATGACAAATGGTCAAAGTAAATACAATTTTGCATGAATCAAAATACATATTACAAATAACTTATAAGGTATATATTAAGAAGAATTAGGATCTTGCGATTTTAAATCCGTTGTAGGGACCAACACATTACATCAATAAGGAGTTTGGAAAATGAATAAGGTATATGTGAGGCATTCTATCTTGCTTAATCCATAGATTAATCTCCTAATAATAGCCAATGCCAATTATAAAAAAAAAAAAAAAAACATAGCCCTATATTAACCAGTTGTACATACATATTAGAAAAAAAGTAAATCTCCAAATCATTCACCCATTAAGATTTAAATGTATAGAATTATATGCAGAATGAAATAAAAATACAAAAGAAATTCGGAAGAGAAATGAGTAAAGGAGGATATTACCCTCTTTTAGGGCAAGACTTTTGACAAAATAGGCTGCAGAACAAGAGTTAGGACAATACATGTAAGTAAGTATAAACTCCGGCTGCATGTTGTGAGTGAATGTATGCCGCAAAGATACTAATAAGCCCTCCTCTCAAAGTGCAATTAAATAATATTTGGAACAATTTTCTTTAAGAACAAATTTTCAAGCTAAGAAATTAGAGGTACGCCTTAATGAGATATTTTCTCCCTTAAAGTTACTTAGTTTCATGTTTATTTTTAAACTGCTTTAAGCCTTTGATAAATTAAAAAGCAAATATCCATTTGTCAACTCTCTTCATTCATTGACATGTCCGGAGGCAATATCCTGAGGTCGCAGGACCTAGAAAAGCCATACAAATTCTTCAAGTGAATACTGGTAAAGAAGAGTTGTGAATTTTGATTTTCGAACTCCTACACTTCCTCTCCCTCACTTTGATACTTTTTTTAAAGGTTTCAACTCTTTTAGTTTGAAAATATCTTTTCATATCATATTAAACGATGCATTTCCTAAATGACATCCTCCCTTCTCTTGGGATCAAACGCCAACTCTGATTCTCTTTCTTTTTGATAAAGTTATATAAGCTTTCCTTTTTATAGATTAGAGACACTTTTAATATACATATGTTGTGTTTCACTCTTTGGGGATTAAAAGCAAAATTGACTAGGTAACATGCCTTTCCGGGGATCAAAAGTTTTTATCGGCCCTACCCCTTTCTCTCTTTTGCAGAACATGCGGAGAACTCCTTTATTCCGCCTATTTTTTCATATGAAAATGATAATGTTTCGGTATATCAACTTATCGTTTAATCCTCCTTAATTGATTTGTCTTTTCAAGAATTCATCAAGCTTTTACTTTAATGACTGACTAAAATTCTTCCTGAAAGTCCATTTCTGCAGTTCAAGCAATTTACTAACTTCTAATCATTCATACTTCTACCTTTAATACTTAAGCTTTAAGAAATTCTGATTCATCTAACCTAAAATCCGTTGCTAAGTATAAGAATTTAGGAGTCTTCTGAGTAATTGCAAAATATTTAAAACATCAGTACTATCATTGTACCTCAAAAACTGATTCCAAATGCATTATGATAAGTAAAAATATATATATGCATACACTCCCACTATATAAACTAACTAAAATTCACGCAATCTTCTGCCTAAATGGAAAGTTCCAAGATTCTCACTTAGTTGAAATGTCATATAACAAGCTTCGCTGGAATTCTGTCACACTTGCCCAACCATCTATTTATTAAAAAACTACACTAAAGCACCAAAAGGAGAAAAAAATGAAAGAAAGAAGACTAGCCAACAACAGCATATGCCTATTATAGGATAACAGTATCGACTAAATAAACAACTAAGGTTGCTGCACTCTAGTTCCAAAACTGACAGTTGTAAATGCTGAAAGCCTTAACCAGGTAGGATCTCTGACTTACATAACCATACCTCCATCAATGGTGAGCACCTGCAGGACAACAGGACCCAAATGAGAAACTAAATAAAAAGATGATCATTCTGGAATAATGAAAAGCCAAAATCTGGCCAAAGGTTCGAGCAAGCTAAGTACCAGTAGTAGTTGCAGACATGGTAAATGATCCAGTCAAGGCTGGTCTACTCCTAGCGGGCTTTTTCATGGTCCAAGAACCTATCCTAGACAACTGCTTTTGGGAGGTTTTTGGCATGAGTAGTCCTTTTTTTGTAAAAAGTAAAACAGGTCGAAACCATTGAACTCCCCAGTGGTTTCATGCCAGCTCAGCTAAATCCTAACTGATATCTTTTTGGTTAAATGAATAATAATTTAAAAGATAGACTATGTAAACTGAAAATTAGCTCAATTCTATATTATTTTTTTAAAAAAAAAATCCTTAAGTTTAGTAGTGAAAAGTTAGGAATACATGTGTTTCACGACAAATCTTTCAAATATCTGAGTTATTCTTCAATTACAGTTCTTTATAATTACAAGAAGAAACTATTTAAATTGTAGAACACAAAAATAGAACTGAATTGAGAGGTTTCTGCTACGTGTTTAGAATGAAATGCCAAGTGTATTTACATTCCCTAAAATATTCTCTACACCTCTTCTTCTAGTTTTTGGCTGCTCCTTCCTCAGTTTCTTCCTCTCCATTCTTACCTTAGTCAAGATTTTTAAATTTTCTTTTTGGCTTCCTCCACCTAATCAATTTATTCATCATTTCTGTACTATTTTGTGATAAAGTAATTAGCAAACTCTCCTGCAATGTTTCAAATTAATTTGCAAAAAGATGTTGAATGCATAGGTTGCTAACTAATTTGTGGTAAATGATCAGATAAATTGATCAAGGCAAGAAGAAAGAGGAACAAAAGTCTAGGCCAAGGTAAGAATGGAAAAGAAGAAATTGAAATTGAGGAGAGAATAGAAAAATACAAGAGGTCTAGAGAATGTAAGGTACGGTGCATAACAGAAGAAGGGATAAGTCTTTTAAAAAAAAAACAGAAGGAATAAGAGCAAAAATACATTTTTTCTCTTCATGAAAAAAGTGTTAAAAGTTAACAGGTTCTTTTTGTTTGAAGTGCCAAAATTTGATACATGTTAATAATACAAGTTATTTATTTAATTAAATTGTCAGAACTAATTTCGCATAGTTAGTAAGATAGAGGGAGGATTCTAGATATAACCCTTAATTGAATGATAAG